AAAAAAAAAAAAAAGCATGAAGTTTTTTAAATGAAAATGCCCGAAATAATTGTTTCCATGTTGCTTGATGAGTCGAAGTTTTCGACGAGTTCAGTGATTTTTGTTTAAACACTTTAGTTGGAGGGCAAATCTACAAACTTTATTAATCATGATTAAGTAAATTAAATAACAAAGTGCTTTCCGCTTACAAGAAGGCTCAAATAATCCAGAAAGGAAAGAAATAAATCAGAAAACATGTAATATAAAAAGATATATAGGTTGGCAACATATGACGGTGGAAAGTTCCAAGCGACCAGAAAATGCGATGGACGGCTGTCCATGTGCTCATTCCTGGAATCAGATTGTGTTCAGTCAGTCTCAAGTTATTAAATGATTGAGCATTTTTTGGAAGCTCAACTCTTTTGCCCCCAATTCACAACAAATTTGAAGCGATTGAGCATTAGTTGGTCGTTCAAAAACCTGGCAATGCTCATCTGCTCTTGGCTCTTCTGGTTTACCTAGATTGTAGCTTAATGCAGCAGTCCCTTTGATCCTTTATTTTATTCACGCCTTGTCAGATCAGCTTCATATTGAGGATCTGACTGACACAATGGGAATTGATAGGACTTAAAGCAAATGAAAACATATACAAGAAAGCGAAAACTCAATTATCATACTTCATGAACTTGGAAGACATTGTATGTGTTGTTGCACATATTTTCTAGGATGCATTGACATCACCTTTAGCTAGTGAAAAATATTGTGGGCCTCGACCTGTGTGAAATTTTGAGCTTCATTTTATTTTATTTTTTTACTAGGCCTTGGATTTTTATATTTGTACATATTCTCCTGAATATACTCTTTTAGTTTGCATCACTTTTCCTATCATCAGAATGATCTTGTCCTCCAGGCAAGTCATAAAGCCGACTGAAGTTAACTAGTATCTCCCAAGTTACTTACATCCCTAAGAAAACTTTGAGGCCATTGAAGTAGCATTTATTGGTGGTCTTTCGTTGCCTTTTAATTTATTCGTGTTGCTAAAATGGCCGTAGAATAACTCAGAGGTATCACGACCTGACTAAGATCGGGCATGGGAGAAGAAATTATAGTTTTTTCGCCTGTAAGTGTTCAAGGCGTATGCCACTGGTCCTTCTGAAATGATCTTCAATGGTTTACAAATTAGCATTTGCATTGTTCATACACCTATGACCTAACTACTGTTGTCTATTGATAGGTCTTCAGTCAGACCAAAACAAGGATCCTAAGGCTAAACTGTTTGCCCCGGTGTCTTTTATTAGATATTTGTTGAATCTCGTTAAGGTAATGGGCCTATTGTCATGGATTTTGTTCCATATAACATATAATATTGTCATAACTGTTAAGACGTTCATCCACAATTAACTTGTAAAGGAAAGAGAAAAGGGACCTTAGAACTGCCTGCATGCTGACATGCAATGTGCAGTTGATATCTTATAAAATTTAAATTAAAGTTTGCACAACTATCATTTTGGAAATGCTTGAATAAGTAACAGACCTACAACCCGGTATTCACCAACCCGAGAGCTCTCACTTGAAACTATTCTGACGTAGGGGAGAAATAGGAGAAGATTAGCATTAGTTATTCCTCACTTATCATTATGCCTGCCAGCCTGTTTCTACAAAGAATATACTCATGTAGCTGAATCTCTACTAATTTTGTTGCTTATAGTAGCCCAATTCTATAATTATTCAGTTTGTTATCCTGGGGAATGTTGTAGTTATAAATTTACTTTACTCCATGAACTTCTCAAGAACTTTTCTTGAAAAAGCCTTTCAAAACATGTTTTTCGGGGTGTTCATGTACAATTAGGTTTTTAAGGTTTATACAGATTTCTTTTGATTGGAAGAGTGAACACAGAATAGGAAAAGTGAGATGCCGACCTGATGACGTTTAAATGGCATGGCGTTGAAGATAGCAAAAAGTTTGTTATATAATCTTGCTATATAGCCTTTCCGAGGTTTTGTCTAATTATGAGAAAAATAAAAGATAATCTGTCTAAATTACAAGTACCATGTTGAGTTTTATAAACTGACCTCCAAATTTGTTTATTACTTTTCAAATATCTAGCTCAAATGGTACATTTTGTATGTCCAAGTTGACCGAATCAAATCCTATACGAGGATTCGATGCAAAGTGATAAGAGCATTGTATTTGCAAGCCCTGTTGTATGTGTAATTATTCTGTCACATTTTGTTTGCCAATTTTCAGTTTTCGACTGAAAATCTCACCTGAATTCATCCAACGGTCAACAATCACAAATTTGCTGTTTCCAGAAGATATTTTGGTCTGGAACCAGTTTTGGTCAATGATCCCTTGTTGTCTCATGCGCTTTTTGCCTTCTGACGAAATCGACCTTTATTCACGTGATATCATTTGCAATTCTCATGTAGTTGTCGCTTGGCTGAAAGTTTGCGTAATTGCCTCTCTGCCTGAACAAACTTACACTTTTCTTTTGTTTAGCTATGGTATTGCCTATTTAAGCTAGAGCTACTGAAAGGTATAATATGGGGGATCATATTTTCTATTCTTAAAAGTGCCATGCTCTTCATATTGCCAAACATCGTCTAAATGTATCTAGTAATATGTAACCCTGTGTTCACCTTCGAGGGAGAGAAAAAAAAAAAAAAACAAAGTATTTATATATTAGGCGTTCGGAACCGGCGTTGAGCATCCAGCATCTCCCTAAAATGAGGTCCCTTCAGATTTAAGTATCCTCTAAATTTCCCATTAATAATTTGAGGCACTCATTTTTTGGTATAGAAACTTTCTTCACCATTCACTACCTTGTTATCTCAGAATTGAACTACTGACCGAAAA